TTTATTATTTTATAAAATATACATTAATAACTATAATTATTAATTATTTTTGACAATTCAAACTAAGCATATTTATAATTTTTGTGCGACCACAATCATTCCACTTTCGGTCCTACTAAGGTAATTAAAAGTCCTGTATATGTTAGATTTTTTTGTTCTAGTGATGAAAGAACTTAGTGAAACATCTTGAATAGGGTATGGACCAAATGGTCCCTTGATTTTTGTGTTTTGCTTTTCCATCTTCACTATAGGAGTGTATAACATTCTAAAGGAATGATATTTTGTTCCGTATTGTTAAAAAAATATTATACTTTGTGTTCCAACATCAATCATTCATTTCTCTTTCAAAAATTAGGCATTCGGTTGAGACTTGGGACAAATCATGAAGCAAAAAATAAAAATCTGGCCGTGGCAACCTGTGGTGTAGGCGTTTAGGAAGAAGATATCAGTCAAGTAAATTGTGGGCTTTGTGAGGAACAAGAAGAAAATGCCAATCACCTATTTTTGCATGGTAAAGTGGCACACAGGATTTGGGTTAGTTGTTTTAGACGGTGGGGTAATTCACTACGTCTACGTCCTTCCAGTTTGCTGCTAGATTCATTGCAACAACACGTGAATACGTTTTTTGAGAAAGAGGTCAATAATGGATGGAGCTTGGTATGGTTTGCTGTTGTTTGGACATTATGGTTATCCTGAAATGAAAAGGTATTCAGAAACAAAGAGCCAGAGATCAACAGGATGTTTGATACCATTCAGGTTCAATCTTTTCTTTGGCAAAAATTCCGAGCAAATAAATTAACATACAATTTGTTTGACTGGATCACAAATCCTGTTCAGTGCTTAACTACAAGGAGGGAAGGTTGCTTAGAATATAATGAAGCTGGGGTGGCCCAAAGCTGCGGGGAATGAGTTTTTTTGGATGTTTGATACAAGAAGCCTAATTGCATTTTATTTGCTCTGGTCGCCTGAGTATTCTATATAGGCATGCTTATTCAGACAGTGCCTAGGTGATTTTTTTGATGTATATGGGTTGAGAATATCTTTTATACTCCAATAATAATAAATTGTTATTTATTGTTAAAAAAAATAATTATTTTTTAATTTTAAGTTTATTTTAAATTAATCATATTTTTTTAGTAAATAAATATTTTTTTACTTTAATTTTATTATTATTTATTTATTTTAATTATTTATTTATTATAAAAAATTTTACTTTATTATTAAATTTTTTAAAAATAATATAAATGAATATATAAATTATCTCAAAATTTTTAATAAATAAATAAATAATTATTTATTTTAAATTAAAGAAAGCAATATTCATGAGTGCTAATTATGGAATGTAGTTGTTGTTATAGTGAAAGGGTAGGAGACTTCTTGACTGGATCAATAAAATTCCTTTTAAGAAAAATAATCAATGAAATTCTACAAAGAGAAATTTTTTTTTACTAGCAAACTTTTTTGTATTTAAAAGTTATATTAAATTTTAATTAATTTAAAATTGAATCGTGTTGAATTCTATAAAAAAAATTCTCTCAACATATATTTAACTATTCACAATATTTAAATTCAAAATTTTATTTAAAGGAAACTGATATCCTCCCATTCAAATCAATAAATCATTAAGTACAAAAGAATTAATTAGAGCAATTTTTTTTTTTCCTTAAAAAAAATTTTAACACCATTCCGGTCAAGAGCATGAGGATATATCCACTTTCCGAGAATGAGAAGTCACTTCGAGGTGTTATCATTATTATTTTTCAGGTTGATTTCACTTCTGGCTTGGAGACGCTTTTCCTCTCCATCTACGTATATCATACACCGGCTGCATTATGGTTTGAATTTTATCAAGCTAAAGCGGGACCTCTCGCTAAGTAGAAATGTCTTTTTCATATTTATACAATTTCACTTTATTCAAGGTTGTCATCTTACAATCATGAAAAAAATATGGTGCATAGACCTTACGAAACAAAAAGGTCATGCAATTTAACTAAAAAAAAAAAAAAGAAACACAAAGGTAATGCAATTGAGGAGAGTTCTGCCATGGTCCATAAAGTGAACTCCTTTCTACCAAAGAAGTGAAACTCTTGGTGAGTTTACTTGCTTAAAATAACGTCATTTTCTATCAAATAAATATATCAAGGACCTTGGAAGTTTTACCATATGACCATGACTCCACTTTGATTTTGTTTTCCTTTGTTTTTCTTACATATTAGACCATGGTTTATATAAGGAAATAATAAAATATGTCTTAACAAATTAAGTAAAGCTAATGTTGTGTCATATAGCCACACCTCTTCACTATATATCTTCCTCTTTCCACACCAAACACAAACTCAATCAAAACCTCTCATCATCGACTGTTAAGGTTTTTATCCTCTTTGATAGGTAAGCACCTCACTTAGGTGCATCTCCCTATTTTTAAGGGCCCCCTCCTTGCCATCTTCTTTGCCATCCTTCGACACCCTTATAGGAGTTTCTCTATTCTTCCCTCTTTTCCTCTTTTTCCTTTCTTTTTTCTCTTGAGTTCTTTTGGTTTTGCCATTAAAGGTGTCATTCTTGGCTCCTGAGAGAATCCTAGGTGGTATAGCTGGTGCCTAGCTAGCCCTTCCTTGGTGTTGATTGACTGTGGAGTGAAGGTATTAAGATTAAAGGTGGCTGTAACACAGGGGGCTAGGGTTTATGGGTGGTGAGATGGTAGGCTTAAAAGCAAAGGGCTGTGATTGGTGGTTTATAGATAGCTAGAGGCTTGCTAATGATAGGCGAGGATGTGGTTGGGGCCTGCAACTATCTTATGAGGTTGGGACCTGCAACTATCTTATGAGGTTGGGACTAATGATCCCAAGTTCCAAGCAATTATCCAATGGTATGGTTTGGGATGTTGGAATGGAAGGTAATTAGCTTTGATTCACTATTGATGAAAACCAAAGCACTAACTTTGAAGGGAAAGGTGGTTAGAGCCATTTGTGAGATAATCGAGCATGTATTAGATGAAGGGACTGATATTTTCCCCTTTGGGATAGTTGTTCTATGGATGTGGTAGGGTGATCAATGGGTGAGGACTATTTATAACTCAAGTATCAGATTCCTCTCTGAAACTAGTATAATAGTAGATAATGTCCAGTAGCTCATTAATGCTCCTAGCTAGTGACTATCTTTCTATGGTAGTGGCTTTGTTTATGCTCATATAATGATTGCTAATGCAATCTTTAAGTACATGTCTCTCTATACTTAGTTGTTTATATTCATTATCATGGTTTATATTTATTACTAGTGCTATGAAATATGCTTCTAATTAATTAGTTATAGTATCATGATATAGGGATTAATATTTAATCTTAACTTCTTTTATTTTATTTAATACAATCTCTATTTTCTATAAAAAGGCAAATGTTGTTGCAGGTAAGTTGTTTTAAGGATTTGGAGCTGAAATCTCATAAATTGGAAGCTATAGGTTCAACTCGTGTATGCAGGGTTTCTTCAAAAAAAAAAAAAAATCTACTTTTTATGTGCCACATTTAAGTGATCAAATCTGTATTGTATACAATTATATTATTGTAGTGTCTTTTATATTCTATATCAAAGAAAAACAAAAAAGAGATTAATGACCAAACACTACAAGAATTCACTCCATCACCAACAAGAAACCATGTCGGAGAAAGAGGGAATCTGGTCGGTGAAACAAAATACCCACTTGCATCACGTCGGCAATGGGTGCCTCGGTGAAGCCGAGCTCGGTAATTCAATCACCAACGTAGATGAAAATCACATCGGTAAACGCACTCATAATTACCGACAAAAAACATCTTGCAAATAGAGAGCCGGAACAGTTAACCGGAAAACATCTTTGGTTCCCACGTTAGTAAATTACCGACAAGGATAACGTCTGTACATAGAGAGGAGCCTCAAGCCCTGCGCTAATCACCGACGAACATCACGTCTGCCAATGCAGCGGAAATGGTTGCCATGTTACTAAATCACC